CTTCCTCAGCAAAAAGAGGAGGATTGGCAACGGATGTTAGCTCAGGGCTAGTCCCCCTCACAAAAATAAAAAAAAGAAAACATTTCATATGTCTGCAAAAACATATGAGAATAACTTTAAGGTAAAAGTTACTTTGCCGTCATATGATTGCCTTTCCAAGAAATGGTTCTGGGTTTTTTTCTTTTTTTTTTTAAGCACATATGATGCCTAAAAAGAAGCTATTCAGGCTAGCCTTGGTGACCTAGTGGTTAAGTTCAGCGTGCTCTGCTTCAGTAGCCTGGGTTCAGTTCCCCGGCTCGGACCTACACCACTCATCTGTCATTGGCCATGCTGTGGCAGTGGCTCACATACAAAAAAGAGGAAGATTGGCAGCGGACGTTAGCTCAGGGAAAATCTTCCTCAGCAAAAAAAAAAGAAAAAAGGAAAAAAAGAAGTTATTCATGATTCTGGCCTGTTGTGACAAGCAGAATAATGACGCTACCCCCTCAAAAAAAATGTCCATATGCTAATTCTCAAAACCTGTGAATATGTTACATGACAAAGAGGAGTTCAGGTTGTAGAAGGAATAAAGTTTAATAATCAGCTGACCGGGCCGGCCCCGTGGCTCAGCGGTTAAGTGCGCGTGCTCCGCTGCTGGCGGCCTGGGTTCGGATCCCGGGCGCACACGGACGCACCGCTTCTCCGGCCATGCTGAGGCCGCATCCCACATACAGCAACTAGAAGGATGTGCAGCTATGACATACAACTATCTACTGGGGCTTTGGAGGAAAAATAAATAAATAAAAATAAAAATTAAAAATTAAAAAAAAAAAGAAGTATAGAAATAATACCAAGTGTGTTCTCTGAACACAATTGAATGAAATTGGAAATCAATTACAGAAAGAAATTTGGGAAACTTAAATATGTGGAAATTAAGAACAACACACTCCTGGGCCGGCCCCGTGGCTTAGCGGTTAAGTGCGCACGCTCCGCTACTGGTAGCCCAGGTTCAGATCCCGGGTGCGCACCGACGCACCGCTTCTCTGGCCATGCTAAGGCTGCGTCCCACATACAACAACTAGCAGGATGTACAACTATGGCATACAACTATCTCCTGGGGCTTTGGGGAAAAAAAGGAGGAGGATTGGCAATAGATGTTAGCTCAGAGCCAGTCTTCCTCAGCAAAAAGAGGAGGATTAGCATGGATATTAGCTCAGGGCTGATCTTCCTCACAAAAAAAAAAAAAAAAGAAGAAGAACATACTCCTAAATAACCAATTTCAAGGTCAAGGAAGAAATCAAAAGGGAAATTAGAAAATATTTTGAGAAGAATGAAAATGAAAACAGAACATTCCAGAAATTATGGGATGCATCCAAAGCAGTGCTTAGAGGGAAATTTATCTCTATAAATGCCCATATTAAAAAAGAAAAATCTCAAATCAATAACCTAAACTTCTACTTTAAAACACTGGAAAAAGAAGGGAAAACTAAACCGAAAGCAAGTGGAAGAAAATGATAAAGATAAGAGAGGAAAGTGGAGAGTAGGCGAAATGGGTGAACGGGGTCAAAAGCTACAAATTTCAAGTTATGAAATGAATAAGTCATGGGGAGATATAAGCATGGTGACTATAGGTAATAATACCGTATTGCATATTTGAAAGTAGCTAGGAGAGTGGATCTTGAAAGTTCTCATCACATCACTAGAAAAAAATAATTGTAATTATGTATGGTGACAGATGTTAACCGGACTATTGTGGTGATCATTTTGCAATATATACAAATATAGAATCATTATGTTGTATCTGAAACTAAAATTTAAAAATCAATTATTAAAAAAAGAATGGAAGGGCCGGCCTGGTGGTGCAGTGGTTAAGTGCGCACTTCAGCGGCCCGGGGTTCGCAGGTTCGGATCCCGGGCACGCAGCAATGCATCGCTTGTCAAGCCATGCTGTGGCAGCGTCCCGTATAAAGTAGAGGAAGATAGGCACGGATGTTAGCCCAGGGCCAA